TGTTGATGTGAATCAGAGCAATTGTGCTCCTTATCTTTGTGGAGCTTTTCGAGCATAAGATAGAATCCTCACTAACTATAATTATTTTTTATCTCCTTAAGATCCATAATCCTAACCACCATTTAACTATATCATGGACATACTACATTTTAAGTTCCATAATTATTCTTATATTCCTCCATCAATATTCCGGATGACACTAAGTTTTTTAATTTTTTTATACATAAACCAATTGGAGCTCTAAAAAGTTAAAAATAGTATGGATACATTAAATATTACACATACTATAAACAATACATTCCGTTCAAATCATCATAGATTTTAAGAACAATTTAAGCTAGACATAGAGGCGTTGTTACATATAGCAAACATAACAAATATTTTATTTGATTGAATAATTAACAAGTTACAAACTAACAGTCATATGATAACCCTGAAGTAGAATTACAACCCCTTGCACTTCTTCACTTTGCTCCACTCCAACACAAGACTCCAGATATAAGAATACAAGCTGCACTCTCTCCAGGTTAGCCCTTATACTCATAAATACTCACACCAAATGGCTCCACAATGTGCCAACCTTTCATAAGAAGTCTAAGGCTACTATTTATAGTTTTATAAATTAATTGAATGATCATTGTGGCACTTGCAGTGTGGCAATGTGCACTACTGAATTAATCTATCGAATCACCACTTATTACTTTGATTAGCTGATCCATCTAACTCCCATGATAGTGCTAGGAAATTTGGCACTATAGTGCTTTGATTTGGTGCTACGATGATCCCTGGTAATGATGCTTTGACACTAAGCTTTCCAGCATAAGGTGTGAAGGTATAGATCTGCGACATTGAAATAAATTCTAGTGCTACAGTATTATTTTTGTGACGTTACAATTCTGGTTGAATTTTCACAAATTTTAACTATTTTTCTACATAAAATATAATGATTACAACTATAAATAACATAATAAATATAAATTTTAATGACTAATTTTTATTTTATCACATGATGGAGATTTTAATCTCTCCTTCTGCTCCTTGCATGGCAGAGATGCCAATCTCTCCTTTTGTTCCTCACAATGGCAAAGATGGTGCTCCCTCTTACTCCTCATGATGGTGGAGATGTCATTCCTTAGCCTCCTCAGCTAGTAAGTCTTTTGCCCAAAGAATTTTTCACCAAGCTCTTCTGCAAGAGTTCCACAACCACAACACAAATGACTCAAGGTGCAGGTTGACATGAAGAACTGTGTGACTCCTCACAAACCATGAGACCCTCAAGGAGAACTCTCCCTCAACCTCACCTCCTCTCCCTTTCCTAAGTGGTTTGGACACCCTCTTAAAATCATAGAGACTCTCATTCTATAAAGCTCTCTCCGAAAAAAAAAATATCCTTGAGTACTCAATATAGACCCTCAAGTCTTATGTGAAAAAATTGAAGTGGGATATTTAAATAAAAATTTAAATTTGAATTTAAAGCTTCTAATCATATAGTATAATACTAGATTGTATTATCAGATTAATTCAATTCCCATCACAAATTATAATGAACGATATACATTCATACAAAATGATTATTTATATTGAAGCGAGTATTATACAAGATGAACTAAGGTTTGGCAAGTGAACTCTCTATTTAATCGGTCTATATGATATGAATCGTATAATATGATCATTATTTAGGATCTATCTGATCCTGATTTAATTCCTTAATCTGCAATACAAAATTAGGCAATATTCATTAATTTTCATACAGTAAGAAATCATTTATATAGTAAAATCAATTTAAATTTGCCTAATTTTGATAACAAAGATTCGACAACAGGTTTATCAAAATAGCTTATCGTCTTGTACGATCAAAGGTCGTACAATATGATTAGTTATAACTAAATTTAAATTATATAATGTAATTAAATACTTGAATTAATTTTTAATTTAACAGATCATATAGTACAATTCAATATAAAATTTTTCAAAATTCAATTTTCATCTCTCTAATGAGTGTGTGCTCAATTGTTTTGCCAAAATGTACCTAATTACATATAGGACTCAAGAACAGAAAACGAAGTACAAACTCTATTATTACAAACTAACTTAGATATTAACACTTCAATATCTTGAGTCTGATTATTTAATCTATATCAATGTATGTTGTACCTAAAATGATTAATAACACAAAATAAATATGTAATGTATATAAAGCATAAACAAGTATACAATCAAACCAATAATATTTGTAATCATATAAATATTAAGTTGGGCTTCCAGATTTTAATAAGCCTTTATTTATAGGAATCTAAGAACTATAAGAAAAACTATACAAAAAGGATAAAAGTATGATATTACATAGAACACCCATACAATGCTATTTATCCCCCTAGACACGTGTCATATTCCAGTTGGCTGGAAGTAGGTGAGATCTAAGGAATTCTAACGAGTTATATTTGGGCAAGCTCGGTGTTGCTGTTAGGCCTGGGTAAGTATATGATCGAGTGTTAAGATGAGGGGACCTACGTGTTAATGTGGTTGGTGACTTGTGTAAGATAGCTCGAATTGCCATGAGGATAAAAGACAAGTGAGATGTCATTGTGGGGATGGAGAAATCCTAATTTAATGATCACGATGAAGTAGGCAGAGGGTCCCAAGGAGTGGGTACTTTTCTATAGATATGTTTGGTGATGATGGTGGCTTTAGGAGAGAGCGAACACCTGAGGTTGCTTTATGGGTTAGTAAGTGACTGAGGTTGTGGCTCAGTTATGTGGCGAATACTGGGCTGTTAGACTGCTAGCTTGGTAAGGAATCCTCAAATCACCTACAGAGGGTAAGCTCCTTTGTCAGTTCGTGCAAGTACATGTTGATTACTCAAGGTAATTTCCATACATACTCGAGGCAAATGGTTCTCAGATCATAAGCAAGTTCTCTAAGTGGGTCCCCCTTAAGAGCAAACTCATTTTCTATGAATCACAAGCTACCTGCTAAAATGATACCTTGATTTCAATGAACTTATAATCAAACAAAACATCTCGATGAGCCAACTCATCGAAACCACAAATAATCAAATGTAAGTCCAAAGGAACCAAATTAAGCACTAGAAGCATACTTGAAAGCTCCTATACATCAATTGAGGGACTAAACATTCTCTAAATCTTGCATGCTTATAGTCAAATCAAGCAACTCAACAAGAAGACTCTAAGAAGCCTAATATCATTGAATTATGACATCCTTAGGGCACTCAAATGTTGGGCAAATAATATATGATCGAGGGGTATTCCAAAAATCTTAGGTTTCTCCACCACAGAGATCAAAAATCTTGGGTGTCACTCATAATTTTGCTTATAGGGTTTTTAATTCTCCTGATAGAAAAAACACGAAAGTTTAAAATGGGATGCACACTACTTAATCATCAAAGTATTTTACTAGAACCTGTGAAGATGGATAATGCACAATTTATACAAAATAGGGTCTATGCTCCTGAGAAAATGGAACTAGAATCTACAAACATAAAATTTAAAGACTGCTTTATTCCTATAACTCTAAGAATAATTCATTACCCTTGACGGACGAGCACCAAAGCTTAAAAAGGGGGATATACACAATCTCTTTATAACTTATTTTATTAGAGCATTCAAATGAGGAATTATACATTGCCTATATAAAATAGCGGAAAGCCACTCTTAAGAGAAAGAACTGTAAATGAGAGAATGATAAACTTTTTCTCCCCAATCAAGGGGGCCTTTATATTTGAAGGAAGAGAAGTAGAAGTTAAAAAAATAAAACAAAAAGAAAAGAGAGAAGTGAACAACATAGAAAATATTCTTTTAAAAAAAAAATTTAAAAAAAAAAACAAAGGAGAATGAAAAAAAAAAAGAGAATGAAGAAAAAAAAAACTAAAAAAAAAATGATGCCTCTTTTTAAGTCTGCAAACTGGCAAATTATTGCATCCGGTCACCAGGCGCAGAGAATAGATTCGGATATCCAATAAAAACTTGTCACGTCACCTGCGCTTTTGACTGCGCTTTAGTTGCGCTTTAGGTGCTCTTTACTTGCGCTTTCCTGCGCTTTTGACTGCGCTTTTGGCTGCGCTTTACCTGCGCTTAATTTAAAATAATATTTTATTAATATTCGAACCTATCTCCACGTCCGGTGACCGGATGCAATAATTTGCCCTGCAAACGACACCTCTTGAGGCATCTCCTAAAGGAGGCGCCACGCTAAGAGGAGTGGGTTAGCACCGTTAATTATCAACAGTGGTTAGCCAGCCTTCCTGGTGACTAGATAGGCTCAACTGGGTCCAAGCCCAATTTTGGGTCCAAATGAGCATATTCAAATATTTTTGGCATTCCCAATATCATCTTCAACATTTTTTTACTTAATTTGATATTTTTAAAGGCCAACGAAGCCTCTATAATCAAATTCAAGCATTCAATGGATAATAATTTATTAATTTTTATTCCAATCGATGCGCTGACTTTCATGAAAAACTTAAATTATAACTACAGAAATTTTATCTGCATCATGACCCTAAATGTGGTTCACGCCAACATCCAGAGAATAGTCGCAACTCATAAATTTTGTTTTCTTATTTTTAATTTTATGCTGCAAAATTTCTTCAAAATATAAAATATATTTAAAAAAAAAAAGTTTAAACATTGAAAAATAGGAAGCCAACAATGCTTGATTTGAGCCTTATTGTCTCCTTGTTGCAACGAGCCACTGTTGCCTTTAATTTTCTAGATTCATGTTCTGTTGGAATGTTTATTTCTTATTGGTTTTATTTTTCCATTTGTGAGGTTTTTTTCATTTTTTTTATTTTTTATTTTTTTTCTTGGTTGAGAATCCTCTTGTCTAAGCTTGACTTTGGTGTGTATATATCGAATCAAACCAGCACAAATCAATACTGCCTAAGATTCAAGAGCAAATTTAGGAGCGATAACAAAATTAATAAACTGATATATGATGGGTCCCATTAAAAAAATTTTCTAACTTCAACGCTAAAATTTATAAAGCAATTCCAAACTAATAAGCAGATTAACTCATACATATTCTTTGATCTTCGACTCCTTATTACACTTCAAATGAGTTCATCATGGCCATGCAGGCAAGTTAGAAAGGAGCCAAAAAAAAAAAGGGAAAAAATTTGAACAAATTTAATTGTAAACTCATACACATATTCGTACACACAAGGTCTTGGATCGATGAGCTTGTGTTGCTTAAGAGCATAGCCCTCAAGCTTATAATCATTAGATTAAGGTCTCGTTTGGAATCGTTTTAGACCATTGCTTTTTTCCTATTTTTAATAATTTTTTTTACTAAAAAACAGTTTCTTAAAGCAGTAAGAAAGTTATCCCAAACGAAACCTAAAGTTGGCTGCCTAAAAAAAAGGAACTTATGATTAAGAAATTGGGAGCTGCATTACCAAGAAAATTTTCCAGGACCATATGAACCCCAGATCAAAGGCACTGCCCTTGAAGATGATAAATAGCTCCAACAGTTTCCATATAAATTAGTCCGCTACTGAAAAATCTGGTTCAGAAGGCTTAGTCGGTTTAACCAACTCCCCAACTCTCTTATTTCTAAACTTTTGCACTCCTTTTAGAGCATTGGTTGCAAACCGAGAAACATATATTGTAGCTGCAAGACTTGAAGAAACACCTTCCTGATCAACCGCTTTTCCATCTTCTTCCCTCAGCCGAATCTCTGCAGCTTTCCTCTTACAATAACGCCTCCATGTTGCTTGTATGAAGCAAGCCGCCCATGTCCTCCATTGCTGCGAATAGAAGCGGAAAGTGTGCTGAACTTGTCTGCTATGTAAACGTCTGAACTGACTTGCAACAAATTTCAATTCATCAGCTGTTAATGCAAAAGCTTCTACTTCAGTTAAGGCTTTCACTGTTCTTGTGGAAGAAGGGAGATTGGCTCCAGCTTTTGGATCTAAAGCCCAGGTCAACAGCTCCTCGCCACAGAAATCTCCTTCCTTGAGAATACTTCTGTTGAAGAAACCACTTCTGCCACCGTCAGTGGTGATGCTCTCGAGTCGGCCGCGAATGATGAAGAGCATTTCATCAACTGGATCTCCTTCTCTGACAACATAGATGCTCTCAGTGTACAGGCTTGGTTTCAGCCGTTCACATATGGCATCTAGTAATCGCTCATCCATGTTTTCAAACAAAGGAACCTGGAGGGATAAGAGCAGGTTTGATTGTTGAATACAAGAAGTGTTGATATTGGGGAAAAAAAAGTTGGCGTATTCTGATACAAAGTTTTTCCATTAATATGGCATGCATATCTGCTTCATGATTTTTTTGAATTATTAGTACCTTCGACGGTTCATCCCCTCAGCAAGTTCAAGATAAACTCTTATACAAGGAAGTTTTTTTTTCTTTTTGATAGCAATAAAACACAATAGTAGAACTTTATTTTCTTAATTTAATAACTCATCATACCACCGATACCCATTATTTGGTATGATCAAGTTCTTGACAGTTAGAAATTATCTGATAATTTATTAATATAACTAACCATTTTACTGTGACATCAAACTTGGATCATCTTTAAAGTTACAATTTGCTTCTCTTTACTCTTTAAAACACATTTTTGGTAGCTAACTTCTTTCCTGTTTGAGTTCCACCGCAGCATCCAAGGTAATAAATTTCTTTGTTATATATTTTTATACTTTTTAAGACAACAAATCAGTTTCAGACAATCATCATTAAGCAATGTTGAAAGATGACTTACCCTTCTCACCAAAGCTAAACAGAGATGGCGTTTGATATCCCTCCTAAGATCCTTGGGAAGGCTCTGGACCAAGTTCTCTTCATCAACACCTCTCGTTTCCAGCCACTTATATTGATCATAGCGCCTAACACGTTCCCTGAGTTCCTGTGGCAGTAATCTATGATGCATCCACTGCTCTGAGTCGCGCCTTTTCACTCTCATCTCTTCCAGTCTTATGGTCAGTGACTGAAGATAAGTCTGAAATTTTCATACGAGTGAATCATCTAATTTAAAATTAAATTTCTAGACATTAACAAGTCAAATGCGATATCTTAACTGGATTAGCTATCACATCTCAGTTATTAAAAACAAACAAAATGAAAATAAATGTCTACACATATTTTAAAAACAAAATTACTGGATTGGTCACATATCATGCTAACAATATTAATAAAAATAATAATAATTAAGGAACTTAGCCAAAAATACTCTTGATAAGGCACCATAAATCAAAATTTGTCAACGCAGGATTGTAGGATAGTAAAAATTATGTTAAAACCATGTAAAACCTCCCTACCACCCAAATCTCAGCATGCCCAATATTTCAAAACTAAAGTAGAGCATCTAGTTTACCTGCATGTTCCCAATTAGAAGGGCAAAGAGAATGAGTCCAAGTATAGAAAGAGCAATGGAGAAAACAACCTCCCCAGGATAAATACTCGTTGTGAGACCTTGGCCAAGGGTACTGCGGACAGCAGAAAATACATAATTAGCAATATCAAGCAAGCAACTGGCAAGTTAGTTGATAGGAAATACTTGAGTTCGCAAGCAAACCTAACATTAATTAGTAAAAACAGAGAGAAAAACTGAAGAACTTCGGTGAAAACAATCCAAAACAGTACATTGTATTATAGGAATCAAATCAAAGCAAACACAAAGCAAAGATACAATTGATCCTCAATTCGAGAGGAAGATCATTCTCTCCCAATCTCTAGAAGATGAGTCTAGAGCCCAAGTCACCAAAGAGAACTCCAAGAGAAATAATAATCAAGCATACCCTAACCCTAACCTCTCATTCTCTTTAAATACATATCTTCCTAATAAAAGCTTCCTAAAATAAACCAAATTCAAAATAACCTCCATATGCTTTAGCCGCCCCTACCCTCTCTCTATTTGCCGCCCGGGGGGGGGGGGGGGCGGGGGGGGCGGGGGGGGGGGTGGCTGGGGGGGCACATGCTTGGGCGTCAATTTCTAAGGAGGTGGCTTAGCCCGCCTCTTATAGAAGTGAACCGGCCCACCTGGGCTGGTTTGGTCGGTTCAAGGAGAACCGTAACATTAGTGCTCTGCATGTAGTTGTTAATCCCTCCAAATAAGAATAACCATGTCATAATGCATAAAATTTGGACATATTCCGCATAGGAGTTTAAGCAAATGAACTTGAAATTGCCCTCTGAAACATTACATGCATCCCACATATTCAGATGACAAGTACCAAAATTATTGATTCAGATGACGAATTCAGAAGAAGAATTTGCAAAAACATTGCACAATTCAGGTAATGAATTTGCTCAACTGCCACATAGGTGAAGACATAAGGAAATCCGTGCCACAAAATAAATTTCAAATTTCATGAACAAAAATCAGTATTATGGTATAAGATTCCCTAAGGTTGTAATTTTCAGGTGACAAGTTTTTCAAGATCTACAACAACAACATCAAGCCTTTATCCCACTAGATAGGGTCGGTTACATGAATCATTTTTCTCCATTGTGTCATACTACTAGTCAAATTATCATTTAAACCTAGTAAGAAAAAAACATTTCTAATATTTTCTAACAAATCTTTTTAGGTTTATCTATAACTTTCTTAACATAGGTCAAACCTAATACATCTACTCTCCTAATTGGGTCATCAGAAGGCCGACATTTTATATGACCAAACCATCTAAAGCGACTCTCTCTAATCTAATATGCCACTGGAGCTACTCCAACATTTTCATGTATATACTTGTTTTGTATTCTATCTCTAAGAGTGAAGCCACTCATCCAACTAAGCATGCTCATCTCTACAACACTTAACTTGATTTTATGCTTCTCTTTTAATGTCCAACATTCAACGCCATAAAATATTGCAGTTCTCACCACCATCATATAGAATTTTCCCTTAAGTTTGAGGGATACATTCTATCACACAATAGACCCAATGCATTCCTCCGCTTTAACCATCCAACTTGAATTCTACTAATAATATCTCCATCTATTTCACCATCATTTTGAATAATAGATCCAAGTTATAGAAAATGTGTACTCTTATTAATGATTTGATTGCCCTAAAGTCACAATCCCCCAGTAGTTCTATTACTACTAAAATTACACTCATGTATTTTATTTTATATCTAATCAAACGAAAACCTTTATGCTCTAAGATTGACCTTCATAATTCAAGTTTACCTTCAACTCCCTCTCTAGTCTTATCAACAAGAAGAATATCATTAGCAAAATGCATACACTAGGATACATCCTCTTGCAAATATCTAGTAAGAACATCCACGACTAAAGCAAAAAGATATGGGCTTAAAGTTGATTCTTGAAGTAATCCAACTGAACTATGACAATACTTGATCAAACCAACTTGTGTTTGAACACACATAACAGCTTCTGCATACATATCCTTAATGACTTAAATTTAAGCATTATAACCCTTTTCTTTTCTAAAACTCTCCAAAGCCCTTTTCTTGAAACTTTATTATAAGATTTCTCCTAAATGTACTGACACTTCTCCTCAAAAAGGCGTGCAGAGTCTGACATGCTTTCAACATAACATACATCTGACACGCCTTCGACACGTCTGCATAAAAAATATTAAATATGAATTGGACACGTTCGACACTCGTGTCTTAAATACTTCATGAATTTTTGTAAACATAATTTCTAGTATATAAAAATTTTATTTTTTTTTTAAATATAAAAATTAAAATTTCCTATTCACGTTATCAAATCAATCTCCCGCACTCAATACCCCATTCATCGAATATTCTCATTTCTATTTCTAGAAGTTATCTGAAGCTTGGAGGAACTAGTGTGGTTGTGTGCATGGAATTTGATCTAAAAGTGAACAGGGTAAGGTAAAAAGCTCTAAATGCTGGCATAGATACAAAAAAAATGCTATAACAGAAGAATTAAGTGAACATATTCTGATCTGAATCTTTTTTGGGTTTCATATTTATCAAAGTAAATGTAAAATTCGCTCTTCTATATTTTGAGGAAACATATCTACTGAAGGCTACATAATATAGCTAGATACTAAAAGAACTAAACAAAGTTGTCAAGAAAGTAATCTTTTGAGTTGAAGTAAGGCTTACCTCAGGTTTTGTAAACCAAACCATAAACAATAACAAAATTTGGAGACGAACTTATTTGATGTAATGATTCCAGAAGTTACAGCCTGAGTGTAGATGCCAAAATTAAATTGCGGATTATCAACATCCACAGAGCATTGTTTCTTAAGAACTGCACTGCTGACATTGGACCATTGATCAAAACCATCAAGATGATGATCACTGCAATACAAGAAATCCCTGAGGCATCCATTATACTTTGAACAAGCAAGATGCCAACAATCATCCTGACGTTCAACAGATAACAGATACCAAAATGCACCCACTATCTGAGGATAATAAAATCAAAAAGTAAGTAAAAATTATATGACAGATCTTGCCTAACAATTTTTTGAGAATCAATTCCTTGTTCAGAGTAAAGCATAATTTTATCCAAGTAATATAAAAAACGTCATATTACTTTAAACGGCTCAACAACAATTCAACTGTTGAGATGTAGAGATAATTTCCTCACAACATTTAACGGTAAGGTCAAAACTTACTACATATATTGATTATATGTGTTTTTCATGTATTCCTAAAACCTCTTCAAAATCTCTTAAAGCATGTTGCATATTATTGCTTCATTTAATTCTCTATCATAACCTCTTTTTGTTCATTACTTACCACTTCTAAGTATTATATAGGGATATTGGTTGAATGTGTTGAAGGACATCACTCGTTTTTCTCCTTTCTTCAACCAATTATAGAGGCTGATGTTAATAAAGTGATCAAAGGATGATAGTTGCCTCGGTATCATATAAAGAGATTTCTCAGTTGGATAGTTGGCAATGAGTACTTAAGAGCATCACTCATTCTTCTCCTATATTCATCCAAGTACATAAGTTGGAGCCAAAGAGGTGGTCAGTGGCATGTCGAAGGTTGAAAGTTACCTTGGTTACTGTCAGATAGGGATTTCTCAATTGAGTGGTAAAAAATAATCATTAAAGGGTAAGAAATAATAGTTGGAAGCTGGAAGCCTTATAAAAGGCGATCACAATAGGATTAGTTTTTACCGAGGTAGCCCGACATGTCACTTTCAGAATATTCAGTGAGAGCATAGTTAGTGTAGGAATTATGCTGATTTAGAGATGGAATAAAAGAGAGGGGGAAAGAATACTAGTGAGATGAAATTATAAAAATAAAATAAAATTGGGTGAGCAAATATTTATATTTTCATGTCTGTATACTTGTGGACATTTATATCTATGTGCAGCTATGGAAATAAATGATCCTGCTGAACCATATAAATCTCTTGTTTTCTATTTATCAAATGTTCTACTTACAATTCATTTTTCCCACTCTTATGATCATCAATCCTCCTGGGCACACATTTTTCACAATCTCAACATGCTTAGTACACTAAATCTAGAATCTAGCCTACTACCAAAGTGTGGAATAGTCAACATCCAGCAATTTTAGTTGAAAAGTGGTACGTTATATTGGTAAAATATATCCTCTTCCTGAGGTATAAGAACCTAGAGTAATACAACATTTGGTTTTGTTCAAACAGGTAGGCGTAGGTCTCTCATTATTCTCACTAGAAAATAAGTGTCATATGCAACAAAGTGCAATCAAATTGGAGTAACTTCTATGCATTTTGTACAAACTTTGACGAATATACGGTACAATATCTCCAATTTTGCTTCTCAGTAATTGTGCAACAAAGAGGATCAATTTAAAGTAGATGAGAATGCAAAAGAGAGACAGTCCTTACATGACTAGCAAGTAGAAACCACAATAGGTAGTATGCAGCGCCAGCCCAAGCAGTTTCAGCGAACACACCAGTAGTTCGTTTAAGCTCTGATGTCAAAGGAAAAATTCTGATAAATCTGGGAATATACTGAAGGAATATAAGGAAGAGCAATATATTTTTTGTGGCCAGCACATCATAACCTTCTGATCGTTGGAGAAACCTCCAAACAACAATCTGCAATGGAATCATAAAAAAAATTAACTTCAGATAACGAAAGTATGCTTGTAACAGTGACAGTTAAAAGTTGAAAGTATGAAAAGGCAAATCACTTTGACAATAGTAGTACACCATGAACTCCTGTAATTTGTACACAATTCAAAATGCAAAAGAGAGCGCCAATTATTGGAAGCTGAACAAGATATGCTGGTTTGTTAATGGAATGATACATATAAAAAAATGAGGGTCATTTCTATTTAAAAGAATTACTTAGAATATACTTCTCTCTTATTATTTTATTAGGGGTAGTTCAGTATATACGGGTTTCTATAAATACCCTCTTATCACATTAGGAAGGGTTTTTTTTTTTTTTGCCCGGAGGTTAGATTTCAGATTTGTCCTATTTGGGAAGGATTTTCCTACCCATGGGGTGGAATTCCCCTTAGTATAGGCAAGGTGAGGAAGAGAGGGAGCCATAGTGGAGCCTAATTTTTTGCCACAATTTGTTGCTAGGTTTCCTAACCTACACTAGTGACTGTCAGTCTTCCCTTCCGAAGAGTTTCAAAACCGGCGAATTCTGAAAAAGCCACCGAGATGTTGTTGAGGTTTGTTCGAGGCCAGACTCGAGCCCTCAAGAGCATCCTACTTTCTTCCTAGACCTCTTGCATTGAATTTAGTTGCTGCTCCACAAAGGGATCAAACCAGCAAAGACATACGGCTGTTTGAATAGCAGTTTGCATTGAATTCGACTGGCTGTAATTCAATTTTTGAGAAGACTAGCATTGGAATCTGCCTAAAAAGAAATTTCTTGTTTCCAATAATTGAAACAGCCAGTTGATCTAAAAATTAGTGGTTCAAGAATAACCAAAACCAAGTTCTCTGTTTTCTAATTTAAATCATATTTGGGATATTTCTTGAAATCAGTAGACTAAGTATATTTGAGTCTACCTCACTTCATCACAGGTTAATAGATGTGGGCTCCGAATATTCAGCACCGGCCTCCGCCCGATGTTTCTTTTTCTTCTTCGGGAGAGTTTTAACAGAATTAAGTTCCGGGGTAAATTTTGGGAAGGTAGATGGGTTTGTAGATAAGACACTACCCAGACATTTCGCCCTCATTTTGCAAGGACTTTATGATCCGAGTTCTGCTTTCTTATAGGCGCAAGCACCTACAGTTAATTACCCCTTTCGATAACAAGAGAGAACTTTCGATTAAGGCTAGTCGTCAATCAGATACGTAGAGAATACGTGTTATCTGGCATATAGTAGCAATATGAGCATGGAATTTGGAATCTGAATGTTCAAGGTTTGATATTTAAAATGAAAAATTTCACCATCTTGCACTTAAAGCGGATGGTGGGGGAATGGATGATAGAACCGATCAAGATCCCATGATTCCATCGTCCCGGGCCATCGTGGACCCTGGTCTACTTAGTCAGAGGAGGTAGTTGACCCAACCTGATAGAAGGATCATTGTCGGCAGTCATGGGTTGCTTCGTCCAAAGGGACCTTGTAGACCTGGGGTGGGTGTTTGTCTAAGGGGACAAATTTGAATCCACCTTAGCTAACAGATGACTTTGTGTCCTATCAATTATATCCTATTGATTAATATCTCAAGGATTTGATATCACTAAGGAACGTATTGGCTCTGATCATAACTGTTATCTCGTGATGTCATTTGGCGGCAAAACCACCTGGTTCAGAGGGGCCTGGGTTATAATTGTTTATCCTGCGGTGTCATTTGACGGCAAAACCGACGGTCAGAGGACACATACCACGTCCTTAATGGAAAAAGATTATTTGAGAATGAATCCTAGTGATATTTTCGACTAGGCATTAGCTCTATGTGAGCTGAAGTAAATTTTAATTTGTCCACCTCGGCAAACTGTTACGGAGAGTGGATGGGTTTGTTTTTTAAGTGTTTGATAGTTATTGAATTTAATTTTAAATATATGGATTTGGATGATTTTTTGGATTATAGATTTTTGGTATTTGGGTGGAATTTGAAATATTTGGAGTTAACCCCTCCAGTTGAGATCTGCATTCAACACGACCATCATTGGGGTGTATGAGATCATTTATGTTTTTGTGTTAAACCTTGTCGACCCTATTAAATTAACAATAGGAGATCGGATTTCATAAGCTTTATGCCTTTTTTGTTGAAATTTTACTATTATAAGCTTTGAAGGTCTAATATGAATGTATTAAGGCAAATATGCCAGTTGCTGCAACTGTATATTTGTTTGATTGTTCGAACTCTGTCAACTCCTATTGATCTGCATAGAAGGGTCAGATTCAAACTTGAATTCACTTATTAACCTGCGCAGCATCCCTAGACATCACGTGTATACTAATAGTACGCTCATCGGAGCCCATGGAGGTCTATGATTACACGTACCTATTTGTGTATCTATGTGTATACAAACTAAGATGCATGTGCGGGGGCATTCTTGGAGTATTCGACGGGTCTTCTACGATGGCTCGTAGAAGTCTGTGTTTGTCGAAATACTTCAATATTTGTACGTATAAGGTAATGTTGGATGCACAACCATTGTTCATCAAGAAACTTGCAAACTTCAATAATCTTATCCAACTCAATGTTCGAAACTTGGTTGAATTGGGATTCATTCCATCTTGATTTGATCTAGCTTTCTCTTCCCAGAACTCATATTGAGATCGATAGGCAACTCCTAGGTTATGCCATCATCATTATTTTCTATTGTTGGCTTTAAATAAAGGATCAAACATTTCAATCTTAAATATTGCATTCTTACTGATGCATTATGCTTCCGAAATCCGTGGTCATTTTCCCGAACTAACAGTTTGTTATATTGTTTTGAAAATTTTATATATAATTTATATATGTAAATTATGCTTAAATATATAACATAAAACAATTATTTATATTAAATTTATATATTTAGGGTATCCTATAGTGGCTTGTGGGAGCTTGTAGTTGTTATAGACATTTGCTTGTAGATGGCATATGGTGCATATGTCAGGTCTTTTTACAAGGACCCGTAAGTATTTACTTTTGCTATGATATTCTACCTTTTGCCTTCAAGCGCTTTATCTCCCTAGCATTTGCTGGATATTTATCGTAGTTGCCCCATGTCTACTGTCATCATTTGTAGAAAGTTTAGTGCATTCACTTGCATGCCGATGTTAACATTCATTTGGATACATCTAGCTATATCACATTATTACTTCCACCTCATGTCGAATCTTTCCTGTTGCAATTAACATGTTGATTATGGTGTGAGTCTCTTATAGGTTATCTATCCTTCTCATTTGAAAGTAAACTGTTATGTGCTCATTTACACGTTAGTTTGCATTGATAGCAAAGGATCCACTTCTCCTACCTCTCATTTGCTTTGCTTGCAGATATCACTGCATAATCCTCGTTATAATTCATGCATATTTCATTGAGTATGTTGTTATTGATATGCCCGTTGCTCTTGCATTTATTCTTAATTACATACAAGTCTTTTATTTGCTCATTAGCATTTGATCTCCTTCCTTATTATATCTTCTTGAAATTGAATTGTTGTCGATAAGAGACATGACATTGCATTCCTTGTAGCTCCTTTGATGTCGCTTGTAATATATTGTTTGCACTCCTATATTTGTAATGAATAAAATGCCCCACACTTATTGTTGATTTCCCTATGCAAACCAAATCTCTTTGTTTACAGGGGCAGTTGAATTTGCTTGTATGACAATATGGATATCACTTGTCCTCATTTATAAGTTAATCTTGCTTGAATGTTTCAAGCCATTTAATTCTATCATTCAATATTTGTATACCTTGAGAATTCATTCAACACTCTGTATGAGTTCTTGCTTGGAAATGTCTTGTTATTTGTAATCAAGCTTGGCTTATTGCATCTTGGTTTAGGCTTGATTTCATATGATTTGTTAAAGTCCAAGTTTTTTGCATTTGTCCAAGTTTTGGTTAAGTTAATTGAGTTTAATTCAAGTCCACTACTGCGCATTTGAATTCAAATTCATTCAATTTTAGGTCCACTATTGCATTATGACTTATAGGTAGTAGGTTACTCATACGTAAAGTATCCTACAACCACTTGTAAGTGCTTACACTCCTCACGGATCGACCACCTTTTCCTTGCAAGTAGCATGTCGTGTGAGTATTTATGTATGCAGGGGGTTCATCATACTTGTAGTATATCTCCTGTTGTTATTTGTATGCTGATTGATGTATTCACTTGCACATCAATTTATGCATGAGTCCACTAGTCAAATATCATAGAGAGAGCACAACCAGCTCAACATACTTCTATCACAAACTCATCACAGATATGAATATCCAATTAAAATATTGATAACTCTATTTAAAATTTTAATAAATCATTACAGTATAGAAAATGTATTAGCATAGCATAATACATTAATAACATTAAAGTGCACCTAGTTTCATGAACATCACTTGAACTTTTATAGTTCACTTTCATAAAAATATCAGAGATGTTAGACGACACTAATTATCAGAGTTTCACGTATACTTAACTTTTTTATTTTATCATAATTCATTCAGAAACTTCAAAATCTTCCAGAACCAATTCAAAATAGTATTTATAGTTTATGCATTGAATTATCATATTATGCAATGCATGAGTGTGATGCGTATCTCCCAATGCATGCTTATAACTCCGCTTCTACTTCTAACTCTCTTTAATCTCCCACACTTGCATATAGAAAGTGGTGCCAGAAAAAAAATAGAATGACCTCCCTTACTTGCTTTCAACAAGTAGGGTCAGAATCCCTCTCACATCCACACAAGATAGATCGAGCCATAACATAATATATACAGCGCTTGTATTATTTCAAATAATGCACATATCACATCACAGAATTTAAAGCTCTTTCAACGTCATGCAAAGAGTTATGCAATTTAAATGAAATCGCATGTAAATATGACGATGATGGTGATGCATAAAGTGCAAGAATTGCATACAGTAATTCACATTGCGCACATAAAAACATACCCACTAACTTTCTTCATTCTAATAATAACTTCATAGGAATATTCAGAACAGAGTATTCAACCTTTTATATAACTATTTCAAAAACCAAAAAATGCCTTATTTGTTCAATACTCACATAATTCAGTATAGAGAAAACTAACCAATAAAAATTCAACATCTTTTAGCTAAAATATTCATAATGAAGCATTATACTAAAAGTTACATAGTGAAATTAATATAAAACTCTAGAAAAACATATTTTTAATCATATATTTTTATAGAATTACAGAAATTAAAATTAGAAATAAGAGTTTAGAAGTCTACCTCATGCTCTATGAAATCCCTAACTAGCCTGATAGATGATTACAACTTCTTGGCCTCTGAATCCTTCTCCCCCTTGCCTCTCTCCTTCTCCTCTCCTCTTCCTTTCCTTCTCCAGTAAGGTGGTTGGCATGGTGAGTGAAAAATGATTTGAGATATTTTATATATAAAGCACTCATTTTGGTATGGTGTCACGGTAGGAACCTTCTCAACGCATCCAATAAAATATTCCAGATGCCTCTAACCCGAGAGCTGAGCACCTCAATGACGCCAGCCAGCATAGCAACACTCCCTCAGAACATTATCCCAAACTAAGAAGATGATAACGCAATGTTGTCCATCACAGCCCCGCGACGCTCCCAATGTAGTTTTGGCAACCTAAATTTCTCTTTTCCATTTCAATTTATGGGTTTATTCAGGATCAATTACGCACTATAGAAATCATAATCACTAACTAAATCAAGTTCAAACAAACATTTTTTTCAAATTACATTATTACCCTGAGTTTATAGCAACAGATATTATAGAGGCATCAAGATAGTAGGTGGAGATAAAGATCTAAATTGGGAGATCAAACACAACCATACATGCAATCAATGTGAGGGAAGGAAGAGTTAAATTAGGGTTTGAGCATAGGGAGATCCCACCTACATGTGCTACCCAAAGAGGACAAGGACACAAGAGGCAACAATTTGGAGCGGGGAAATGGAAAAATTACCCGAAAGGGAGAAAATAAGTGAAAAAGAAGTTAGGGTTGCAACCATACTAGGACAAGACATGCACTTGAAATAACCAAGGGAGGAGCTAAGCCACGAGCCCGAGAGCTAGTGAGAATCCTATGTAAGCAACAACACTAGTACAACGAGCAACAAGGGTGTCGATTTGAAGAGATGGTCACTCAAACAAGAGGTGAGCGTCCCACACACATCAGCGTTGGGATAGCGAACCATTGTGTGATGGTGCTGGGTGGACAAGTGGCACATTTAGGGTTTTATTGCAAAATAATTTAGGTTGAAGGTGACCATACTAGTTTATTGCTAAAATTCTAATAGCATTCATTTTCGCCAAGTTTTTATAAAAACTACAAAACCAAAGGAATAGTCTAAACTCAAGAGCAAGACCTCTCAAGAACAAATCAACATCTCTCAAACAAGCAATGGGTGCAACCTCCCATGAAACAATTATTTGGGTACAACCCTCTAGAAATATAATATATATATATATATATATATATAATAACTTTCTTAAAGACACCAATTTATTTAGGACTGCTTAAGATGCTAACATTAAAGGATATTCCTAAGCAATAAACAAGGCTTTTATCAATAGGGATCTTGTAAGGCACAAGATCATAGCATCAACATTACAATGAGGCGATTTATCTGGCTTGAAATCATGCAACAACCAAAAGCTTCTCTATGCCTGCCCTTTTATAAACCCCACAAAATGAACAAGTGCAACAAAAGATGTTCCAAATAGTTTACCCACATTAATACTACTCTTGCCAAAGTACATTAAATTTGGTATCCAATGTGATCTAATGCTCTAGTTCAATACAATAAGGATATAATTTAGAAGACATGTATTGAGTATAGATATTTGGGAAAATTATGCATATACCCCTAAATCTTGCCTACTTACAAAGGGATGGCTTGGTCAAGAACCGATTCAAACTTTACCAATCATCAACTTGATCTTTATTATGTTTATCGGGAGTTGGTTGAGTTGAAAAGGCAATTGAAAAAGCTAAACTTAAATATTTTGTACGTAGTTGGTTGAAACTACCTCAAAATCACAGACTAACCTATTTGACAATAGAAAAGAACCCAAAGGACATTTAGATAAACTCATATGCACATTATACACATAAAGGAAATGGTTGTCAACATTTTTACTACATTAAACCACAGGATCATGAAGCACTCATTAATTGATTCTCTAGAAGTTCACAGGAACAAATGAAAATGGATTAAGTTTAGCAGGATGGGCAACTTAATCACCTTAATCTACAAAACTCTTGAATTGATCTTAATTGTGCAGTTCAGGTGATAGAAAATAATAAACATAATATCTTGGGAGATAGAATTAACCATGAAAAAGAAATTCAGAAAAAAAAAAAGGTCTTAAATTATTCAGAGGTTAGACTTAGTCTGCCCATTATCAACCTAGATAGGGTAGTTTAGGCTAGTTATTTACACAGATAATTCAGTTATGAACAGCAGAGCGCAAAACCTATCAAATTTAGCCAGTTCTTTCAACAGACATTAGATATATTGAAGATTTCCATACATTATTCCACTTGTATTAAACATAAATGACTTGAAGCTTGACTTCAACTACCATGAAGCAAAATGAAAAAATAAAAATAAGAACACTACCATGAAGCAAAATAAGAAAATACGAGAGAGAGAACCACCAGTATGTACTATGTAGCATGCTTACAGACAAAAACAAACATAATGAAACTGAATCACTGCAGATCTGAAAAATGAAAAAAATCAAGTATACGCGATAATATGAAGAGTTTTTTAAACCTGTGGTAGTGGTAGCACAGCAAGGAAATCAACAGTGAAGAAACGCCGTAAGTAACGATTAGCTATCTGAGCAGGATCAATTACAAGTTCACCTCTACCAAAAACACGAGAGGAGGGAGCAATGTAAGCAGTACGGAACTGAAGAGCCATTCGAAGGAGATAGAAAGAATCAATCATAGTGCGTAATGTGGTTGAGGTGTATGCGAGCTTCCGATCTATGCTGAGGCAATTTGATTTATCATCGTAGACAGGAAGATAAAAGAACAATGGATCAATTGACACCGCAAGAATACATGATATTACGAAAAGCCTGTTCATTCTCAAAAGAAATGGATCTTGAGGATCAAAAATCCTCTTCTCTGAAACCTTGAGATCCTCTTGGAAAACTCCCTTCGTACCTGTAAATCTAAGAGATTTACCCAGTGACCTAAGTCCTTCAGATCCCTTTTTCATTCCTATTTTGAACGGCTTTGTTGAATTCTTTGAACCCACCCCAAATCCCTCCATGAGGAAACCACGCTTCTTCATTTTTCCACAATTTGAAACAAATGGCAATGTTTGGTTTGACTGATCCAATCTGAAACATAAGGATACCGTCAGAAAATTGTGAATCCTAAATCAAATGCAAAAGGAGAAAAAGTGCTTGCAAGATTGATGAACTGGAAAAAGAATATCTGATTCTGCTAATTGTGAATGACTGTGGCATTATCTCCTCTTAAGATGGAGATCTAGCCTACTGAAAAAATTACTTTTTAGTCACATGACAAACAAATGCTACCTTAAGACTGATAATCACGCTCTAGAACAAGGAAAACATTTCGAAAAACTTCTAACTTCTATGGCACAATACACGATAAATATATGAATGCTGTATAGATTCATTTCAAATTAATAAGTTTCTATGCATTTCTTAATATTGAAGGTGCTGAAATTGTTGAAATGTTTCAAATGGACAATTAAGAAAGTTCATTTAATCTAAATGCCTATAAACAACAAATTTGGGAACAATAAATACCATCATCCCGTTTCATATAAATTTCTATCTTTCTTAATTTTGAAATTATGAAACTTGGTTTGTCACACTATTTTCCTAGTGTTACACGTATTACCTAATATGTGGATGTTTTTTGATAAAGTAATATTGCGAGAGCGAACTTATTTGAAAAAAACATCTTTTACCATGGTGAAACACCAAACCAAAATCTCTTACTTAAGACAAGGAAAATATCATTGTTACTGTTAGGTTTTGATTAGAGGCTCTTGAAACATAAACACCGTGATTTTGATCACCATATAAGAAACCAACAATAACAATAATAACAACATCAAGCCTTATCCCACTATGTGGGGTCAGCTATATGAATCATTTTTTTCCATTGTGTTCTGTTAAGAGTCAAATTCTCATTTAAATCTAATAAAGAAAAGCACTATTTTATGTGACCAAACCATCTAAGGAAACTCTTTCTAAACATGTCTGTAACTAGAGCTACTCAAAGCTTTTCACATATATACTTGTTTTATATTTTGTCTCTAAGAGTTAAGTCACTCATCCACCTAATCATCCACATCTTTGCAACACTTAATATTATGCTTCACTTTTAATGGCCAACATTCTTCGCCATAAGCATTTCAAGCACCACCATCTTATAGAATTTTCCCTTAAGTTTGAGAGGTACTTTTCTATCACACAACAAGCCCGATGCAATCATCCACTTCAACCATCCAAACTGAATTCTACTATAATATCAACATCTGTTTCACCATCACTCTGAATAATAGACTCAAGATATCTAAAACGTGTACTCTTATTAATGACTTGATCGCCCAAAGTCACAATCCCCCTACTATATCTATTACAACTAAAATTACACTCCATGTATTCAGTTTTATATCTACTAAAAAAAAAAACCTTTAGACTTCAAGGTTGACCTTCATAATTCAAGCTTACGTTCAACTCCCTCTGTAGTCTATTTAACAAGAAGAATATCATCAACAAAAAGCATACACCAAGGTACATTCTCTTGCAAATGTCTAATAAGAGCATCCATGACTAAAGCAAAAATATATGGGCTTAAGGTTGATCCTTGATGTAATCCAGCTGAAATAGGGATGAACTATAATTGGTTTTGCGTTCGTGATTGGACTTGCTCGAATCTATTATAATATGGTTTTTTTATTGTGCTATAAATATGATTTTTATTATTTCAAATTTTTAACAAAATCACTATTGGTGATCATTGAATTATCATTCGGAATGAATTCTTGATTTTTATCAAAATAAAGGAATTTTTCCTAAATTTTGGTGGCACTTGTTTTCTTGCATCTCATTCTAGATCTACACTAGAAACCCTAAATCCTATACATCCTGAAATAGTTGAACCTTTTGTAATCATGCATAATTATGTGTGATCAAACATAATTAAAGATGACAATCAAGAAATTGCATATGAACCCATTCATGATTTGCTAAAATAGCATTTAATTATACCCACAGGTGCATGTAATTATTTTTTATATACCTTTTAGAGAAGAAAGGTGTTTTGGGTTTTTTTACAAGAAAAGGATCATGGTATGAATGGAAACTTTTTTACTGACCTCTTATAAGACAAAAATGAGGAATATTAAGCGTCAAAGAAAAAATTTAATATAGATGAGATTCAATCTAAAGTTCATGACAATAACTTTCAAAATATTTACCAACTAAGCTAATTGACATACACGCACAAGATAAATGTGAGCTTTCTCTTAAGACGACAATTAAGGTCCATAATTCCATAGTCATAGCTCAATCTTAAGCAATGTTTGCGTTTTTTCGTAAATGTTAACAAAGCAATGGAGTGCTTAACTGTAAATCAAGACCTATTGACTTAAATAAACTCTATCAATGGAGTTCTTAACTGTTTGTGTTATTTCGAATGTCATTGTTTATGATGAGTGGGTAATACATTAACTAACAGAAAGAAATTTAAACTGTTTTATTCCATAAAACAATAATTAGTAAATGACCAAAATGGTAGCTAGACTTTTTAGATGTATTTATTTTAGTCCTAGATTTTTCCAGGTATTGAAATTAGCCACTCAACTCATAACTTTCAAGCCAAATTTTTCCTATAATCAACTAGTCATTTCTTGGAATGAAAATTGGTTGAGAGAAGCATTCCGTAAGAGCTTTTTGGACTTTTAAGGGTCAATATCGTTACTTAATATCAGCCCAAACTCATGGGGTTAGAGCTAAAAAATCCAAAATTCTCTCATAAAAAGCTTCCTTTCTACTAATTTTTGTCCAAAAAAGGCAAAGTTGATCGTAGAATAAAATTAGTTCAAATTTAATAAGTTGAAAGACTTGAATAAGTTTATAACTAATATAAGCACACCTAAAAATTTTGGGAACCATTTTGATCATTTACTTGACGCCAATCAAAAATATCAACTAATGCAACAAGTAAACTTCCTTCAACCAGCATGTGTACTTGAATAAGAAAATGGAAAGAAATATGCAACTAAATGAATAGAATAAGGAGGAATTGTTGTTGCAGATGCTAACAAGCTAATATTTCCTAATAAACATAAGCAATACATGATTAGTGACAAATCAAATGGAAAAGATAAGTGGTGCTCCATCTCAATTAAACATTTATTATGGACTTAGAGACGTAATTGTTGCTAAAATTTATTGCATAATACAGTAAAAAAATCAGTTAAAATCATAGGCCACTGAATAGTCACACCTTACAAACTTCTCTTTCTGCCCATCCATATATTGTGCCTTGTAACCACAGTCAAACATCTTGAACAAGATATATGATTTGTTGACAAAAATCTTCAAATTACCAAGATAAGGCCACTCGGAAACGAGATCTAACACCAGTTCAACTTATGTCAAAAAAGAGAAGCCGCTAAAATGATCTATATAAGGCCCCTGCAAGTGAAAGAGAGAATAAAAGGATGTTATCTAGAATTAGGCTGTCAAGAAGTGGGTATAAAAAAATTGATGGTAGTTATATTTCTATATAAACAACGTATTTTCTAAGTATGCAAAATAATCCCATACCTAAGGATATCGTGCTAAGACAAGATATTGGTTGATATAGAAGGATGAATTAACTTCAAGTGCATGTAAGCTGCAGCTTCTACAAAAAAAGAGGGTGGGTGAATCATAACCAAATTTAGAAGTTTATGATAAAAAGTATTTGAAATCATACTCCAAGATATAAGTTTGATTTTAAGTACTCAAAGAAATGGTAATGCCGAGACAGATTAACTATCAGCAAGATTAAAAGATTCCATGATACATTATACAGTTTGCACTGCGTGCATTTCACTAAAACGTCAATATATTTCAAGCTCAAGTGTAACAGCTTTGAAAGAGATACAAATTATGTTGTCTTCGAACCATGAACTGCACCTTCAGCTTAATTAACCCATGTTATCTAGTGGAAAATTCTAAATGAAATGCAGAACTACTGCAAAGTTTAGAGAGAAAGCAGATTATGTTGAAAGTTATCTTGTAGCTAGTTCAATAACAAAGCAAAGAGAATCAGCAAAAGAAATATAATCATTGCTATGAATGTTATAAGTTTCCAATTTTCAACCAACAAGATAACAAAGATAACAGTTGATCAGCAAAGAACAAAGAAACTCAAGAACAAAGTTTTGTCTGCAATTTCAGGCTCAAAGATAATGCAAAGGTTCAATATCTGAGAACTGGAAAGGACTTCATCATTGCCAATTCACGCTAAACGGATGAAGTAGATAGTTTTTCTTTATGCAATATCTGAGAACTAGAAGCGCTTCATCACCATATTTTTATGAATTAAAGCAAGCCAAATCTAAAAGACGGCATCCTTCCAATCACACGGTTAGGAAAGTAGATGTATTAGATTTGGCTTATGTTAAGAAAGATAGAGGTGGGCCTAAAAAGACTTGGTTAGAAAATTTTAAAAATGACCTTTCTTTTTTAGATTTAAATGAGAAGTTGACTCTTAACATGACACAATGCAGAAAAAGAATTAATTTAGCCGACCTCACGTAGTACGATAAAGGCTTGTTGTTGTTGTTGTTGTTGTTGTTATAAAGTAAGCCAAATCTAGACCAAAAGCAACCGGAAGCAAAACATACCTTATTATTGATAAACATCCAAATTTCATTAGAAAAACATACGTACACAAAATGCACAGCTCAATCTAATTTAACGCTTGATTCACTTACCAATCACAGTATAAATCAACAAAATACTACAATAAATAATGTGCAAGCAAAAAGGGTTATTTTTCATAGCAAATTTAAAAATTACAAAATACATGCTGTTAAAATAATATAAGCCTCTGATCTAGAACCCAAATAACCAAAGATTAATTTGAATTGTGATAGAAAAAGAACATTCGGATGTCAATGCATGTGTGCTCTGATAGACAGCAGTTCATGTCGCAATTGAGTAAAGGATTTCGGAAAATCGTAAGTGCTTTAATTGAGAAAAGCAATGTTCAATTTAATTAAGATAAAAACTTCTTTGATTTGTGCTTTGTGCTTTGTGCATAGAAGCAAAAAAGAACTCTAGTGCTTTTCATTGCATTTTGAAAACACTGATGTTGGGCTGCAATTGCTAAATGGATCAGCAGTGAAGATGTTGTGGAGAAGATGAAGTCCAGAGCTAGATGCCATAACTAGAAGACAAAGGAAAAAGGGACTAAATTGGATGATCTAGGGAATCAAAGACCTAAGAACCTAAGGTGTTATTTTGATCATTGTTATTAAGATATCACTAATATTAGATTTTTTTCTTTTTTTTTCTTTTTTTCTTTTTTTTTTTTTTTTGCTCAACAAAAAGTCCATGAGGGGAAGTTTATTATAGTGAAATGAGGATCAAATTCAAGACCTTTGAAATAACTTTCAAGGCCATTACCAACTAGTCTAATTGGCACCTGACATGTCAATTTTATTAGATATTTAGATTCGTGCAATATGAAAAATACTTTGCATTTGTCTCAGTATTATTGCATTTAAAGATATCAGTGTTTTCTGTAACTATTTGGTTCTATGTTATCTTTACAATCCAGTACGTGGCAAGTTTACTGCTTATTATTATATTTTAAATTATTATATGGAACAGCCCATGTTGTAAGGCCACCTTAGCACAGATACTCGCCATATAAAATGAACTCCTGAAAAGAGAAATCAATTAGGTGATCATTTGAAAGCTTAAAAAAATCTTTATAAAATGATGACCAAAATCAAACCATTCACATAATATAATAGATCAAAGGTATACTATAGCAGATTAAAACCATAAAAATGATTAATACAATATATTAATCAGCTAAAAATTTGAAGGCAGATCAAATAAAACCTTACAATAGGTAAGCACAAATTGACTAATATGGCATATTAACATTTACATTGGTTAATATAACAGTTTTAAACATAAAAGTACATCAATAGATAAAACCTATCTCATTTTACCGGCGTTCTTCGCTGAAGGAGATCTTTGGATGGAGAAGCGGCGAATGAAATGAGGTTGAAGAGACTATAAGCCGCGACCGCTGAACGTGAAAGGAATCACTCGCAAAGTCGGGAGATCGCTGGATGAGAAGGAAACGCAGCGACTTGCAGAATGGGAAGGGCACGCACGGCACCAAGGAAATGGATGCTAGGAGAGTCTAGCATTAAGGCATTAATTACATATACATTCTAATAGCGAAGCGATTATTCAGATATCAATCAGATAAAGGTTTAGAGAAATTACTCTAACCAGCAAATCCCGAAGAATAACTCCCAAATGCCGCTTATCTCTTCATTTGATCCTCCATTTCCGAGATCAGGATATCAAACAAATGCCGATATTCAGTATGTGGGATCTTAAACCGAGATCCACTTAGAGGCCAAAATCAGCCGTTGGCCGCCAGGAACCGACAATGGAAAGGGCTTTAATTGCTGCTTTTCAAGACAGGAATCGGAATAAATTAAAGGAAAACAACGTCAAAATGTCTTCTTGGCGAGGGATCGGTTGCAGCAAAGGAGTAAATTTTAGAGAAAATGTTTCTTTCGGCCTGCAAAATGTATCCGTGAAAAATGTAATCTTTTTGAAGAGATTTTGGTTTAAATTGTGGAGTACGAGGAACGAAGGAAGGAGAGCCCCAAAAAAAACGTGGGCACGAAGTTCTGAAATTTGAATAAATTTGGAATTTTCTTTAATGACAAAGTGCACGAGTAATTGACGACAAGTTTGCGCTCGTTAGGGAGGACGTTTTTTTTTTTTTTTTTGGGTGAAATTGCGGGAATAGCCCAATTTAATATTATAAAAAAAAAATAGAATAAGAAAAACTCAATACAACTAAAAAAGATGACAAACATGAGCAGCTGCTCAAAACTTAAAATTCAAAGGCTAAAAGAAGATAAATAAAAAAGGGTCCAAAACAATCCTGGACCAGTAGGCAGCAAAAGGATATCCAATTCGCTTCATTGCCTTTAAAAAAAATTATTCATATCGAAATAGATGACTGATATTTTATCTCCGTTTTCAAAAATTTTAATTTCAACCGTCTGATTTTTTTTAAATTGAATTTATTACATTTTCTTTAAATTTAATGAACTTCGATCATACAACTTTTTATATGTTACAGTGCTAATTATTCTAGATATTTTGACTAGATGATTTTATAATTTCATCGAGTAAAACAAAAGTTATTGTATTTTGAACGATTTGTAAGAATAGGAATTTTAGTAATTTAGTATGAACATATTGTTAATACAAGTATTATGAATAAATATAAGCATGTGATTGAATAATAATTGTTTGATATTACTGTTATAATACTGTGATAATAATAATTTATAAAAATAAGTAAAGGCTGGTGAATTACTAACAATAGTTGAAGACTAATTAATCCATACATAATGGTGGGCTGACAAACTTTCTTTTTAAATATTATGATTTGGTGATATTTTTTATTAATTCATGCGATACATTGAATTTTTTTTTTATATTTGTCACTCTCATTATGTGATACACTGATTGTAATTTATAAGGAGTTATTACCGTGCCGACGGGAAAGGAGTGACGACTATGTTTAATAAGCCAATAGTTATCATTTTACAAACTACTAACTATTAAAAAAATAGCGTGCAAGCCCGAACTCCTTACTTGATTAGTGTGATTATTGGAATGCATTTTACTAATTTATTACTGCTGCATGACATTGTTATTATTACACTAATTTATTGTATTGTATGAATTTACTATTACTATTACATATTGCTCTATTGTTATTTTCATCGATGATACCATTATTGATTTGGTGATATCAATCCTAATTCATTGATACTTTTATTATCTACGGTTTCACTATAATCAATTATATGATATTGTGAACATATGATTATGTTTGTTGACTGATAAAAAAAGAGAGAGTAGTAAAATGAAATAAAAAATATAAAAAAAAATATACACCAGAGAGATATATCTCTTCATGAATTCGGTCTGGTCCCACCATTGGTAGTTGCTCGCCAAACAATTCGATGCTTCAATCCTCGTAACTCCCTAGCAACAGTCTAAGTAGATAAAAGAGAAAGGAAGCAGAGATAAAAAAAACTTACACTCGCTCCTTCGACTCCTTTGTTACTGCCCAACTTCGTTGCTTCGCAAGAGGAGTCTAGGGAACACCTTTCATCTTCCCTTTTCGTCGTTGATGTTCAGCTTTGCTTCGTAGGAGGTGACGAGATTGCACAGTCTCCCCTTCGAATCCCTCATCGTTGTTCAGCTTCGAATCACAGGAGATCGTGCACGCGCCGCTCCTTCGGCTTCATTACTTCACAGGAGTCGGAGAAATTGAACGCATCACTTCTTCTGCTCCTCTGTTGTCGTTCGACTTCGCTCCTTCGACTCTTTATTGCCATTCGACTTCATTCCTTCACTGGAGAGGGGATATCACACGAGTAGCTTCTTCCGCTCCTTTGTTGTTGGCCGACTTCTTTGCTTCGCAGGTATTGTAGAGATTGTAAGAGTCGCTCCTTCGGTTCTCTCCTTGCAGTTTGACTTCGCCTCCCCCAAACTCCAATGCCCGCGAGCTTCGACCCGTGCGTGACTTCTATCTCCAAGCCATGCCCGATCGGGTTCGCTCTATCCTTCCCTTTGTTACATCATATATTATATATTATAATATAATATTATATATTATATTAATATATTATATAATATTAAAAAAATACTATAATATTGCACATCTAAAAAAAAGAAGAAGAAGAAATAAAAAAGAGACGAAATATTTTCAAGCAAATGTCAAAGACCCCGGGCCGTTGTACCTTAGGTCTGGCCGGGATGGTTCAAAATTCGAAGACCCGCGCCGTGATCTTAGATCCAGACGGATGGTTTTAAACTCAAAGCCCCTACGTCATTGATTTTAGATCTGAGCGGGATGAAACAAAATTCAAAGACCCCACACAGTCGATCTTAGATCCTAGTGGGATGGTCTAAAATTGAAGATCCTACGCCATCGACCTTAGATTCAAGTAGGAAGAAATTACGGCAGTGCCGTCTCGATTTCTCCCTCGGTGCGGAGGAGATGCTGGGAGGCTGTCGAAATTTCACTAGAAATTATAAAACTTTTCTTTTTGGACCAATTAGGGAGAGTCAAATTTAAGTAATCAATTACTTGATTAAAACTAAAATTGATTAATTAAATCACTTAAATTAAATAATTGAGATTAATTAAGTCAACGTAATTAATTTTGATTAGCAAAATCGATTTAAAAATCCGATAGCATTTTTCAAATCCGAGAGTAAAATTTAAATCAAGGTGTTGTTATTTAAATTTTGAGAAAATTGATTTTTGATTAATTTGAGCAATTAAAAAAATGTACAATAAATAAAAGATGAGGGGACGAGAAATTCCACTAATTAATATATACAACAATACTCTCAAGCTCTCAAACTCTACAAAATCCTCTCCAAATAACAACTCTCAAGCAAATTGTACAAACTCTCCAAACAACAACTTTCCAAAAACTCTCAAACTCTCCAATAATAATACAAGCAACTCAACACACTCAAACCAAACTTCTCTGCATGCTCTCTAAAGCTCCCAGTATGAGCTCCTACATCTACTTGTGGGCTCTATCCTCTGCAACTGTAAGCCCCAGCTACTGTAACTCTGGCTACGAACACCTACAAACAAACAAATGAAGAGTCGATACATTATAAATAAATTGAATGAATTCTAATAAATCTAAGCTACTGTAGGCAGATCAGAATACTGAAAAGTAAGAAAAGCTAAGTACAAAAAGCTAGTAGAGCAACAGTGTTGAAAAAATAGGTAGAGTAGTGGACTACCATAGTAGAAAAAAAATCTATGAGCACAGAACAACAAAAACACTAACACTAGTGTCAAAACTCCAAAGTATCAAAATCACAAATGCAAACTAACTCAAATAAGTACATAACAAATCTCCAAACATTGTACATGTTACTACTGTCTATCTAAATAATCAAATTCAAAACCTTTGGGTAGCCTTGTTTATAAGTATTTGGTTGTAAGAACCACTACCTGGCAATTTTCAAAGGAAAGCAGTAAGTCCGACCTTAGGGGAAAGCTTTAGGTAAAATTGACCTAACCCCTAACCCCCAATTAAAACATTGGCAACTTTTAATAGAAGATATAAGTCAGACCTCTAAGAAAAATATTTAGGTAATGATACAATCCTACCCCTTACCTGGGCATCCTAGTCTACACTACTTGGTTCTAAGACCCATTACTCGAGCTACTTAGCTTAATGTGCTAGGTCGTAAGACCCATCAATAGGCAAACTTCTAAAGAAGCAATAAGACCTACCCAACTGAAATATTCGGGTTACGCTTAGTAGAGGTCGTAAGTCCCACTAATTGGGCCACATTTTAATAAAAGTCATAAGTCCTTACCCAAATCTAGTCACATGGACAACTTCTGTTGAAAATTGAAGGCAAGAGCCTCAAGAGAGAATTTCATCTTTAAATAATGTTTTGAAATATGGTAATTATGATTCCTGTAATGAAAGCATGTGGAATTGCTATCGTAAGATCTCCTACCTAAATAATTAAAGCCTTCAGGCATCCTAGACTATAGGGTTAGGTTGTGAGACTCACTAGCGGATTACTTCTAAGTGAAGTCATAAGTCCCACATTTTAAGAAAATTATTAAGTAAATAGCAATGATTCTAAATCCTAAACAATCAAATTTAAAATCTCCGGGCAGCCTTGTTATAGAGTTAGGTTGTAAGACCCATCTTTTGGGCAACTCATGAATATAATAGTAAGCCCCATTTGAAAATCAAATACTTGGGTTACTTTCCATAAAAGTCATAAATCCAACCTAAATCTAAATACCTGAGCTACGTCCTAAAGAAGATATAAGTTCTGTTCCAATCCAAACACCTGGGTTACTTCTAAACGAAATCATAAATACCAAACTAAATTAATTTTTGGATATTCTAATAGATGTAAACCCTAAACCCTAAATAAAAATTAAAACTAAAATCAACATCTAACCACTTTAGTCTACTCAAGATCCCTAAGAGGAGGCAACTCATGACTACTAATTAGATTCTCTATACACTATAGTCAATGATTGTTAGTATTGGTATATTAAAATCTACGATATATCTGGAATGACGGAACCATGGGATCTTACTCGGGTTTACCTCCATCCTCCCTATTATTGAGATTAAACTACCTAAAATTTATTTATCCTTAATTAGGAGTTCTCTCTTACATGTTAAGAGGGATAATTAAATATGAGTACTTGTACTCATGAGAAGTAAGGACCCCAGATCTTTAAACCCTGACCTACTCTCAGGGGAAATCTGTTGGCTCAAGAAAAATTGCATGAATGCATTATAGAAGAAAATAGTTGGGAGAGACTTCTGATAATTTACATACAAGAGATTATAACAGAAGATATAATGAATGAAGGCCCCGATAATGGTATCATGAATATGGCCATACAAAGGTATATTCCGATGTTGGTGTCATCAATATGTGACTCCGAGAAGACAGCAAGTTTGGGTTCCAAGAAGACCCAAATATCCTCTAGCTCTAAAAGATGATCTTGATAAAGAAATCTATAAAAGATAACTTAAATCTCATGTCCAAAAGTTATCCCCTAATAAGG